TGTGTGTTATATATATATATATATATATATATACATACATATATATATATATATATATAGAATGTAAATGATGAGATATAAGCTCTTTGTCTCATAAGATAGCCATAGTTTACATAGGCTTTCTAAGTTTTTAAGTTTTAATATCAGGTAGAGCCAGGCACCTCTTATTGTTCCCTGACGCACAGTTTCCTGGTTATTTACTTTACACAGGCTATTAAATGTTAATGTTTAAACTTAAGAAACTGCTCATTATGCCTAATTTAAACTTTGATTTTAGTATTCTGCTTTTTTTTTAAACAGTATCTCTGGAAATTCTTTTAGAATTACATTTGTCACGGGTACAGGGAATTTTTAGCATTCTGTTTCTTATTCATGGAAGTACGAAGGATTAGTCTCTAGTTTTATGATGCAAAATACGAGTGCTCTAGATAATTGCTGGCCTGGGAATGTCTGATTTTCTACTAGCTGGTATTTATATGCTGGAGGCATTTGTTACTTCGGTAGAATCTGAACGAAATTAGTGCAATTTTGTTAAAAGATGCCTCAAGTCAGTAGCACACACATTTATTTAATAAGATGAGCACCATCATGGTTATACATTCCTGAGAAGAATTAGTTTTTGATGCAAATAGATGACTAAACTTTTATATTTCGAGTTTTTTTCTTCTCTGAAGAAAAGAATGAAGCTTTTGAGATGATACTGTTTTCTAGGCTTTAACAATTCTTTATTGATAGATCCCTAGCACAGTTCACTCAGTTAAGAAAGATAGTATACTGGTTCTGGCTTAAGGTTTTAAGTATGAAAAGGATTAGCACTAATGACATTTATACCTAATACAAGTATCATGTCTGACACTAGTAGTGAGGCTAGTTTTTTCCCCTGTACAGACTAAGCTGAATTTATATATTTTCTGTAACAGCAGGAATAGTTAACAAGCATGGTTTTAGGAGAGAGACCGTAGGATCCCATACTCTGGCTTGACCGTTTCCTGCTGTGTGACCTTGGGAAATATTGTTAGCATCTCTCTGCCTCATTTTCTCACTTGGAAATTGGAGATAATGCGAATAATCTCATAGAATCATTTTAAGAACTTAAATGATATATATAAAATACTTTGAATACCATGCGGTGTACAGTAAATAACTGCACACAAATAAGTGTTATTCTTTCAAGCGATTTTAGAACTTTGTTAATTTATTCCAGTTTTGCTCCCTGTACTCAAACTTGGTTTAACTTGGGAATTGCCTCCATTCTTGCCTAATGAAAATAACTCTCATTACTTGATGATTTATCCATAGCCATTATCTTAAAATATAAAGGGCTACTTTCAGAGTGCTTGCTGTGTGCCAAGCATTGGGGTGAGATACACATTGTTTTATTTAATCCTCAATTCATCTAAGCAGTATTTGTTAGTACTGTTTTACACTTGGGGAAACTGAAGCCCAGAGAAGCTAGTTGCCCAAGTTTATTTAGCAAAGTAGTGATGGAGCCTTTCTCTTAACTATTACGGAATGCTGCCTCTGTTTACTGATCTTGCTCCTCTGATGATCAGAATCTTCTTTTTATTCTTTCCTTATACTTGTTTTTTTCATCTTTGGAACTTTATCACCCTGTCATGCACAAGATTTGTGAGTGGTCAGAACACAGTGTGGCCCAACAAAGGAGTGAGGCAAAGGATGAGGTACAGGTGTTGATTGTTTGAGGCAGGCGGGCTAAGTTTTACTGTCTCGGAGAAAAATTTGGAAGGTCTTTTTAAGTTTTTGTTTGTTTTGGGGGGGCAGTAATTAGGTTTATTTATTTTTTTTATTGTTGTTGTTTTTTAAGTGGAGGTACTGGGTATTGAACCCAGGACTTTGTGCATGCTAAGCACCCACTCTACCACTGAGCTATACCCTCCCCCAGAGTTTAAGTTTTAATTTTTTTAATTTATACAATATTTTAAACATATAAACCAGTAGCTGTAATCTACCACCCTGATTTGAAAGGTAATCTTAACCTATTTTGTTTCATATCACCCCCCCACCACACCCCATTTACACACCACCATTGGTGGCCTGCCTGAAGTTGGCAGTGTGTGTCAGTTCCATAAATATGTGTGGATAGATACATAATACTTGCACAGGTATAGGCTATTTTTACTCTTTGACTATTACAAAGAGTAGAGAAATTAGATCCTTATGTATGTCTGATTCCTTATGTATACCTGTAAGAAGAGTTCCTGAGGCACAAAGAAAGTTTAAACTACAAAGAGAATAGAAAAGTCAGACTGTACTCAGACTTAATGGCTTCTAGAAGTATGACAAGATAAAATGAACAAAGTGAAACAACAGGCCACTGGGAAAACATTTGCAGCCCTGTAACCAACAAAGAGCTAATATCCAAATTATATAGAATTCCTGTAATCAGTTTGTCAAGTTTTATGTTTGTACATTAGATCACAGATAGTAACTATAACTAGCCCTAGGAACTTACTGTCTGATTTGTTAATATAGAAGACGTAAGTTCCAAATCTCCAAATGTTATTGTGTATTTGTCCATTTGTTGTATTTTTCTGGTAAATTATTTTTTATCATTATGTAATGATTTGTTTGTTGTGATTACTGATAAATTTGGATTCATTCTTTCTTATTTTAGTGCTTTTCGTATATCATGTTTTTCTTTGTTTTCTCCCTGGACTGCCCCTTCATCCTGCCCACACTTTCTTCTCTCTCCCTCTAGTTCTCCTCCCACCCCAGTCCTTCGTTACGCTCTTGTGTTCTTTATTCCTTTTTCCCTTTTCCTCAGCTCATTTGGAAGTTACACATTCTCTTTTAGTGCTACTTTAAAATTTTTGACATGCACACATAAAGTCTAAGATAATATTTCTGCTCTCTTTCCAATACTATAATTTTAAGGCTTAAGAATACCTTAACATATATGTTACCTGTCTTACAAGTTTTTATTGTCTACCATTTTAATTCTACATGGTTTCTCTACCCCAAGTTTAATGATTATTATTCCTCTTTATATATTAAAGCTTATTTAGATGTGTGTGTATATATCTATATGTATATATAGTTTACCATTTTCCTTACTTGCTCCGCATCTACCTTCTGGGTTCAGTTTTCTTTTTATCAAAGAATATATGATTTCTCTTTATTTAATCTCCACAATTTAGGAATAAGAACACTGTCATGTGAGGTCACAGTTGCAGAGTTGACCCCTTGTTGTCTTACCTCCTAGTCTCTTGTCCTCGTTTAGAGTTGCTGTTCTTACTTAGCATTGGGACTTCCACAAAGACAAATGGGAATTTAGTAACAAGGTGACATTTCAAATCAACTTGGGGGAAGTAAATGTTAAGACAAATGGTTAGCTAGATAGGGAAAAAAATATAGCTGGAGCTCTACTACATTGTGTTCAGATCTTGGCTCTGGTAATGGTGTGACCTTGGGCAATTTATTTAACCTCTCCAGGTTTTACTATTTTCGGAAAATGAAAATGAGAATACTTCCCTGACAGGATTAAATGAGAATAATCCATGTTAAGTGCTTAGTACAGCGAATGACAATACATGACAGTTACTATAAGTAATTTTTTCTTCCTCATTTTCTCTTTTTAATCTAAAGATATAAACATGTAAGTTTAATGTGGTTGTGTTTCCCACGTCTGTTATGTTTCCAGGAGATCACTTAATTGGCTTAACTATATAAGCTTCGGTTGGGGAGCAAAACCATAGGTGCTGAATTAGTGTTGAGGTAGTAGAAACCAAGCATTACAGTTCAAATGAAGGTTAGAATATTTCACTGGAATATGGTTTTTGTAGTGGGCTTAGGACTTACCGATAAAGGCTATTTGCCAAGTATGTTGAAAATATAGAGAGAGAGGGAGAGGGAGAGGGAGGGGGAGGGGGAATATATTGTCAACATGGAATTTCCTAAAAACTATTAAAGTCAAGCCAGCAAGCAGTGTTTGAATGTCTGTTCCTCTCCATCACTCTGTGATAAGTCTAGTGAGATTTATTTCTGTTTTGGTCATAATGACATTTACTGAAAATTAGATTTCAGAATTTCAAGCTTTATGGTTAGAAAAACTTCTGGAAACTTTCTAATGATTCTCCTCCTATGCTATTCCAGTGTGCTTAACTTTCTTTAATTCTAAGAAAAGTGGATATATCTTTTGCAGTATATTTTATATTTGTTTTTAAGCATATTTTATATTTGTTTAAGGTGGATAGACATGTGGACCTGCTAGAAGTTGCCCAGGAAACTGATGGGTTTTCAGGAAGTGACCTAAAAGAGATGTGTCGAGACGCTGCCCTCCTCTGTGTCAGGGAATATGTTAATTCTACTTCAGAAGAAAGGTATGTGTATTTAGAGTTGGCCTGTTAATATTTGTCAAGCCCTTTTAGGGCTTTTAGATTAGTTTCTTTTAAAAATAAAAGAAGTACTTTACAATACCAACTCTGCTCGTGGAGTAAAAGGTAAATTGGAATTTAAAATCACCCTTACTTTATGTATTGCCCCTTTTCTGAAGGAAAATTCTGGAAATGAACTTGCAGGGGGGGTGGTTGTGGGGAGCGTGTGGAATGAAGAGAAAGAAGTAAAAGCTGAATTTCTACTGAAAATCCATGGACTCACAGAAAGCTGACAGAAACCTAGGCTTACCCATCTCTGCCAGGAAAACAGCTGCTCTGGTACCCCTAGCTTGCTTTTGTTTTTTAAAATTTTTGAATTTCATTTCATATGGAAATGAGTGCCTTGTCTTCCAGAAATTTCATATTTATGGAGACACAGGGGTGTTGCTGCAAACTAGACTTCAACTTGTTGATAACAGTGTTTTTATTTTACAAAGAAATCATTTGTTACTGCAGCAAATTATTTGAAACCAGTTTCAAAGTATTATGAGCTTGAGAAACCGGTTTTATACCTGCCATATTACTGAGCTGGAATAACTCAGCCCTAAGGAGCCAAAGCCCCCTGTTTCCCATAAGGCCACTTGCCCTGAACCATATGACCCTGTATTTCTAAACCCTTGTACAAAATACTAACCTTCTAACAAAGAATTTCTGTGACTCTTAGCAAAACCAGTATACTCTGAATGAGTTCTCTACCTCTTGCCCCATTATTTCCCAGTGTCCCTTCTTCATCCTGAGACTTTCACTCCAAGTGATCTGGATTTGCCTGTCTTACTCATGTGTTCTATTACATTGCATTGCCAAAGCAAGCTTAGCCAAAAAGCTTTCTCTTGATATAAAAAGGTTTGTAAGAAAGCTACCCTATTAACCAGTAGCTATGCATACACGAGTTCTGGACCTATCTTTCATGTTCCCTTGGACCCTGTAGTGAAGAAGTAACTCCATTTAATTTATTGCCAGATTAATCTAGCTGCCGTGGCACTGAAGTTAGGAATACCTTTGACCTCTGTGTAGCCAAGAACCTACCTTCCAAAGGTTTTTATTCTTCTATACAAGTTAGGAGGAGGAAAAAAAAAAACCTCATGAATATATTTTGCTTAAATTAATTACATTAATGAAAATTCTGTTTTTCTGCTGTCCTTAATGCCCTGAAAATTTTCTATTTCAATATGAAAAATCTGAGTAGTGAACTTAGGTTATCATATGTTCTCCTAAGTGTTTGTAAATTACAAAGGAGATATGTATTGGATTGTATTTTCCTCCTTATTGAAGTGGGGAGGACTTCGAGTAATTGGTTTTTATTAATAGGAAAGAATTTCATTTTTGGTTCATCAAAAGCTAAATATGAAGGGAAGGGTATAGCTCAGTGGTAGAGTGCATGCTTAGCATGCACAAAGTCCTGTGTTCAATCCCCAGTTCCTCCATTAAAGATAAATAAATAAACCTAATTACCTCCCTCCCCCCAAAAAACCAACTACACTTCAAGAAAAGCTAAATATGTACATTAATCTATACCTAAGGCTGCTACTTTTTAGTTTCAGTTTTCATGGGAATAACTTGATTCCTTGAATTACACAGCAAGATAAAAATTATTAGAATTACAGTCCCATTTATATCTACTGACACACCTTTGTATTCTTAGTGTGAACTATTTGATTTTAGTTACCACAGCTATAATGTTCATACCCAAACATTTTAGCTTCCTACCATTTTAGCTTCTCTTAGCAGTTAGTGCTTTTAAAAATAAATCTCTGAAGACACTTATATGCATAGATAATTCCCTGGAAGAATTCACATGAAGCTGTTAGTCGTGGTTGTCTTTGGGATCTTGGATAGGAAAGAGACTTCATTTTTTATTCTTGGTAAAATATTTTAGGGAGGTATATGCTAAAGTTATTTGAATATTTGGTGGATTTCTTTTTGCATTTTAGCCATGATGAAGATGAAATTCGACCTGTGCAACAACAGGACCTCCATCGGGCAATTGAAAAGATGAAGAAATCAAAGGATGCGGCATTTCAGAATGTTTTAACACATGTTTGTTTAGATTAAGAGTAAAGATCGTTTGTACAGTTCAACGTGATCTAGTTTGGTGTGCCCTCTTATGATTAGTGGAAGTAGAATGGAAGGAGGAGTGTTCTTTAAACAGTGAGGGAGTTATATGTTCATTACACTGGTTTTATACTCTGAATTCTAAGTTATTGAGATATAGTTGTTATATAAATGGTATTACGACTTGTGAAAAATCATGAGAAGGAACAATTTAATTAGCCTGAGTGTGGGTGCTTGTGTTTGACCTCTTTAGCCATATGTTGCAGCCTTATAGCGTCTAAGCTGGTCTTAAAGTAATAAATGATTCTCTGAGTCATTATTGAAAACTGGGGATGTGGTTAAGTGCTGGTTTCTAGATATGTGTGTAGGTGTACGTGTGTGTATGTGTGTGTGTATTAAATGTATATATTCACACATTTTGTATTGACATTCTATAGATAGATTTGAATACAGAAACTTTTTTTTACCCCAACTACTGAATCAAAAAGTACCAAATAGCATATAGCAAAATTAAGATTAGTGGTTGTGTCTAAAAGGTACAATGATTCAGCTGTTTCCAGTTGTCACTTGTTTCCTTTTTGTTTTGTTTTGCTTTTCTGCTGTTGAATAGTTGGAGTCAGGCACATCTGAATACTTAGTTGTGGCTCAATTATGGTTGTCAGGATAATCAAATCAAAATACTGATAGGTGATCAGCTTTGAATGGTTGGCAGGCGGTTGTGTGATCAACACTGATTTCACCTCTTTCTGCAAGCATACTGAGTAGAGACATTTTTAAATTGATACGTATAGAGGTGGATTGAAAGCCTTTCAAGAGAATGGGTTTGAAAAACCTCAGTGCCGTTCAATACATGTATGTGACTTTCCTTTCTTCGTTTAATGTAACAGTTCTGTTGTAACCATGGTTTTTTCATGTTATTTTAAACTTACATGTTTTTTAATTATGGTCAAATATAATTTGGTCATCAAAAATGAAGTGATAGTTTAAAACAACTTACTAAATGTGCTAGAAAATACTCACTCTGTAATTTTAATTTTTTGTTTTCTTAGCATATTGTAAATTATGCCCTACTTAGAACAAATATATAATCAAAATCCCCATATTGTATCTGTAGTTATTTGATGCTACAAACGTAAAAAATGACACTTTTTTTTATCCAAAATTTCACTAACTAGAATTCTGTTATAGGCACTTAAACACACAGCATGAGGAAAATGGCACAATACAATCTTAAGGTGCCTTCTGAATCATCAGAAAGATTAAATTATGCTTCATATATTTTTGTTTTTATTGTATTTCTTTGAAACCTCAATCTTTATTCATGAGTTGTTGAATTAATGTCTTTGATAGTAAGTCTCTCACTAGAAACCATTGGTTAGTTTGTTTTTCAATTGTGCTTTGAATGGTGGGTGAGGTAGGTTCAAGTTTTGAAAAATTGTGAAGATGATTGGAAAATTGAATGCAAAACACAAGATACCAAAAATAAAAAATTTTGTCTCCATTTTTAGTAAGTATATTATACTATTATTTTATAAATGTGTAATAAAGAGGTCCCTCTTAATTAAGCTTTCTCTAGTTACTCCATGTTTTTCAGTTATGTAAAATTTTCTGGGGTTTTGGTTTGTAAAATTTGCTCTTGGACTGTTTTTATCTTGCTGTGTAGCTTTCACTCTTTAATAGCATGCATTCTAATATCTAACCATTATTTTGTTTTAGTATGAATTTCAGTAGTTGTTTAATTTTAATCTGATGGCATATTGATAAAAAAATAAGGGGTGATACATCTCTCCATGCCTTTTCTTTTAATCTTTTAAATTCAGAATATCCAACAGTAGTAGTTACTGAAGCTATGGTTTTAATCATCAAATAAAGTTAGAGAAATACTCAAAAGCCAACAACCATGATTCATCTAGGCATCTTAATGCCTTAAAATAATTGAGGAAACTTTATTATATAATTTTAAAGAACGTTTAATGTTATATAATGTGTCCTGCTGTAGACATGTATTTGACATAAGCATTTGACAAGGATTGGATTCTAGGTTCTAAGGTATTTCATTTTGAGTAACAGTTAAGAGTACTGGGTCTAGAGTTAGACTGCTTGAGTTTTAAATCCAGACTCCCCATTAGTTAGCTGTGTGTCCTTGAACTAGTTACCTAATTTATTTGAGCCTCAGTCCCTTGTTTACAAAAATAGAGTGGCAGTGGCACCCACCATATAAGGTTGTATGATGAGATGATGCATGTAAGGCACTCAGCACAGTGCCTGGTGTATTACTGTTCAAATATTAGCTGTCGCATTTTATTACTTTTACACACTGATCTGTTGACTTATCTGTTGACCAGGCTCAATTTTAGAGCATTCTCTTTCCTAAACCATTTCCATGATCCCTAGATCTCTACTCTAGGGATTGAGATAAAATGATTACCTATAATGTTTCTCTAAAAGTGTCATTGTTGGAAGACTTCTGGTAAGTCTGGTGTCTCAGACTATTCCCAGGACTTTTTAAAATAGAGTTTAGAAACTCAATATTTGAATCAATTCAGTATCTCCTTTCCAATTTATGTCCTTTCTTTCTCATTCAACCCCCCATCAGCAGGGTGATCCAGAACTCACCATGTTATCAATATTCTATATGACTACAATAATCTAACATTACTTAGTAGCTATAACTTACTGTTTGGTGTTGAAGATATCTCAAGCTTTGATTGTGCCTGGGTAAAAATGGGACTTTTTCGGTAGGAATTTTTTTTTTCAGCTGGGATTTTTGCGTGTGTGCACAAATGTTACAGCTTCTGGATAGAGGAAATACGTTGGATGATGTATATTTTATAATTCTCTTTTTAGCTTCTTTTAAGGTCAATAACAGAATATTGAATAGGATTCGGATATGCTAAGCATATATCCTGCATGACTGAAACCCCAGCACCAACTGGAAGCCTCAAATAAAGCCATAGAATCACTCCATTTAGAGTTGACAGAATTTTTAGAGAGCCTTCATTACCAAATTTCGTTATCAAAGATAGATCTCCCTAATCATCTCAAAAGTAACAGCTCTTTTTAAATTGAAGTATAGTTGATTTACTATGTTGTGTTAGTCAGGTGTAAAGCAAAGTTACTCAGTTATTTTTATATCTATCTTTATACAGAAAAAATCTTTTTCAGATTCTTTCCCATTATAGGTTATTACAAGATACTGAATATAGTTCCCTGTGACATATCGTAGGCCCTTGGTGTTTATCTACTTTATATTTAGCAGTATGTTTATGTTAATCTCAAACTCCTAGTTTATCCCTTCCCTTCCCTCTTTGGTAATCGTAAGTTTGTTTTCTATGTCTGTGAGTCTGTTTCTGTTTTGTAAATTCATTTGTATCATCTTTTTTAGATTCCACATATAAGTGATACCATGTGAT